CCCATAGCCCCCCCCCTGCCCCCCCTGCCCCCCACTGGGGCAACGTACCGATACACCAGCAGCCCCTCGACCGTGGACCCGATCACCAGGTGAGCGGCCAGCGGGCCGGATGGCGGCCCGCGAGCGGTGCGCTCAGACAGGGGGGACTGACTGAGCAGGTGGTTGTGATAGCCGACCGGCGTGTCTTGGACAAAGCGGCACAGGGAGACGGCCCCGTCCAGGTGGACCAGATCATCGGTCCAGGGGAGTGGCCCGGTGGCAAGCCCGGCCGCCGGCGGCAGGGCCTGGACCAGGAGCACATGGCCCTCGACCGAGGTTACACAGAAGAGAACACCCCCGGAATCCAGGCACAGGCGGGCCACCGCGAAGGGATGAATGGCATTGCCACAGGAGGCCCAGTTGGCGATGGACTCGACCACCGCCGATGGTCCGGGGGCCAGGAGCAGGGTGGCCAGCAGGCGAAGCGCACGCTGCTCCGGGTCTCCGGTCACCAGCAAAGGGTCCCCGCGAAGGGCCGGGATGTGGAGCATGGACAGCGGCGGCTGAGGGGGCGCCGGGAGGGCCGGATCGAAGGGCTGGCGGCTGCCGCCCAAGCCAAGTGGCAGGATGCTGGAGAAAAAGTGGTCCACGCAATCCCACCCGCGGTCGGCCGGGAGGGGGGCGTTCCCCGGGCGCGGCATGGGCACCCCTGCCAGTGGCAGAGCCATCTCCAGTGCTTGGCCCTCCGGGGCCGGGCGCCTTTTTGTGGCCATTCACCATTCGAGGATGGACCACGCGAAGGGGGCGTCAGTTCAAGCGAAGCAACGGGCCTGGCAAGGGGGGCGGGGGGGGGGGGGGGACATGGGAGAACGCACACCAGCAGGTGCTCGTCCAGCAGGGCCAAGGCGCCGGGCTGGCCGGCAAGGACCCACGTCCGACAGGCAATGACGGCAACATCCCCGGAGGTGGTTGCCGCTTCCTCCGAAGCAGGGTGCATGTCGATGCCGGTCAGCAGCCAGGCACTCAGATAGCATCCGGGTGGCAGCTCGGCCGGCAGGGTCCCCAGCGGGCCGTCCGACAGGAGGAGGGGCTCCTCCTCGGACATGGCCGAGGTGGCGTACGTGGTACCCGGCACGGGAAGGGCTCCTGGCGGCGGCCCGGGCTGGAGCGCTTCGATGGCTGGACACAGGGCCGCGATCAGCAGGGCATAGTCTCCCGGGAAGCAGCACCGCGGAAGGAGCAGCCCCTGTACGGAGATGACATCGTGGTGTTCTTTTTTTTGTTTGTCCAGTTGTTTGCCCCGCGGCAGTGCAAGCCCCAGCCCCGCGCCCGGCAGAAAGCATGTCAGAATGAGGCAAGCCCAGGCCGAGGGCAGGTGGATGGGGCGCAGGCGCACCGCCAATGGAAAGGACCCCCAGGCCGCGCGATCGGCACAGCGACTCGTTGGCCGGGTCCGGCGGCGGGGAGTAGCCCGCCGCGCCCGGGCCCTCGAAGGCCCGGGAGTCGCCGAAAGACACGAGCCGGATGCGCTCGGAGGAGTCACTTGTGATGACCAAAGAGTGGAAGACATCCTCGGGCATGTCCTCCAGGCGAGACCCCCGGCCGCAGCCGCACGGCAGGCGATTCATCCGGGCCAGGCCGCCGGCGCCGATGGTCCGCGCGCCGCCGCCAGCCAATCGCTCGTAGTGAAATTCCCGAAAGCGTGGCGGTTCCATTGTGGCGCACGCGAGTTGGCCGAGGGGGG